AACGCCCTGGGACACAGTTCACCAGCAGGGTGATCTGCTCTCACTGTGGAGGGGATTTCTCTAGAGTCTTCATTCATGAAGAGAGAGTGGTCAGATGGAAAGACTTTCATAAAGAATGTTTTCCTGTGATGTAATCCCTTCTGAAACAGAAAATCACTTTATATAAAGTCCAATTAGGTCCAAATACAGTATAAATGGGCTCTGTATAACAATTAGACTTCAAACACAGAAGAGGCTGAATATTACATTATTTTCTATTGGCCTCCCTGGTTCCATGCCAAACACGTCTTGGCTGCAACAGAAGAATGAAGAGGCTTTTGTATTTGGGGGAGAAAAGGGGAACATAACTATGGGGCTCTAGAAGGGAATGGTTGCAACCTGGCGCTTTGCAGCAAATTTGGAAAATGAGTAAAGCTCTTATAATTGCAACTCTAGCCCTAGCTGGTTTGTCTCAATGGATAGAACATCAGTCTGTGGACTGAAGGGTCCCTGGTTTGATTCCAGTTAAGGGCACAGGCCCAGGTTGTGGGCTCCATCCCCAGTAGGGGGCATGTAGAAGGCAGCTGATCAACAATTATATCATTATGTTTCTGTCCTTTTTCCCTCTTCCCTCCTCTCTGAAATCAATAGTGTGTGTGTGTGTGTGTGTGTGTGTGTGTATTTAAAATTTTTAAAAAATAATTACAACTCTATAGGTAAGATCTACTTACACACTCTGGGAACTTGATAACATGTTCCTGTATAAACCTAATCCTTGTCAATGTGACCTACTATCTATTTAGCAGCTACAGTGAACCATAAGGTTTTGTTCAGAGATGCAAGGTTAGACATTAGATTTTATGTCCAGGGGAAAAAAAAATCTATTTTGAAGGTAAAAAGAAAAAAAAAAGATAAACTATTTTACTTAAACAAGAAGGAAAAACCATAATAGCTATTTAGAATACAGACCAAGATCTTTTCAACTCACTACACATGAGTTTAGAAAGAATACCAGCCCTGGCCAGGTGGCTCAGTTGGTTGAAGTGTTGACCCACACACCAAAAGGTCGTGTGATTCCTAGTCAGGATACATACACAGGTTGCAGGTTCGATCCTTGGGGGTATACGGGAGGTAACCGATAGATGTTTCTCTCTCTCTCAATCAGTTAAAAAGCAAAAAAGCCCCACAAAAAAAATATATCGTTGGGTGAGAATATATGAAAAGGAATAAAATGAGTAAGCTGCCATATTAGTCAAGAAGTTTAACAAGTGTTTGCTGGTAAGCAAGAGCTACTGAAATAATGCAGTAAATCCTGATGTATCACAGAATCAAAACAAAGAAACAAACAAAACAACACAAACACTGTCCCACACATAAAATGAGGTTTCAGTGTAACCTCATCTGTGACGGCAGCTGCTTTTTTCCCAAAGGACTCAAACGATTTGGAGCCCAGTTGCTCCTCGCTCCGTCTAACAATAGCCTGTCAGAGCTGCACGGCTCCTGAGGAGGCTCCACTCATACAGCGGAAGCCGCAGAAGAGAACTTTATCCCCCGAGCTGTGCGCGCTGACTAGATACACTTGTGCTGGACTCTGCATGGTATTTCGCATCAAAATGCTCCCTTAATTATAGCTCCTAGCTTCTTAAGCTGTAGGCAGCTTAGTCAGAAGCTGCCTAAACCAACTAAAATTGGATCACTGCAGGAAAAAAACATATTTTAGGGAAACATGTGCACCCACCACCTACGCATCTGTTAACATTGAAACCAGAAGGCGGCGAGCACGTTAACGCACACATGAGAACAGGCTGTACGATTCAGTTATTCACAACATTCACTTAGAAATATTATGGCAGCCTTTTAAAGCACACACCACAGTGCACAACCAGTTCCTCTACTCAACAGGCTTTTATTGGGCTTCTATGTCCTAGGCGCTGTGCTGGGTGCTGAGGACATAAGGATTAGCAAAGCCGACATATAAAGCTCCGTGGGTTTGTATGGTTTCTAAGGCTGAAAAGCAAAGAGAAAATAAGGTCGTCCTTTGATTTTTTTTTTTTTTCCATTCGAGGCAGTCACCCCCAAACCCCTGCCCCAGTTATGAGGTGGGGCTGAGGCCCACGAGTTTCTGTGTGGGTCGGCTGTGGCGTTTGTGGGCAGCTGCTTCCTGGAGCCCCAGCATGGACAGCAGCAGACCCTCCGGAGAGTCCATTTAATAAGCTCTGACCACTATTTTTACGGCAGCTGCGCCTGGAAATGCTGTCTGATTTCTAACGGGGTCACCACGGGCCAAGTTCTTCCAGGCTCGGCCGAGGAGTGAGGGGCACGCTGCTGGTCTCAGTGGGTGACTCCGAGGGTGAGGAGAACAGGGCGTCTCAGAGAGCAGGGGAAGGAGGTGGGAGAAACGATGGGCATTGGGAGTGAGGACTAGGAACCAGCCCAGACTTCCCCCGTCCTCTTCCTTCTCTCCTCACTGACCAGACAGACAAGGGGTGAGCAAGGGGAGGGGGGCTGCTGGTGTCCGTGGACGGGGTGGAGGGAGACAGGATGCAGTGCGCAGGGAAGGGGAGACATCACCAGCAGTGTCAGAGGAGAGGGTCTGTGGACCTGACGGAAATGAGTCACCGCCCGGAGTGAATGATGACATGTGTGGCACCTGCTGGCAGGGACATCATTTAGAAGCTGGGCATTGCTGAGGGCATCCAGAGACATCTGGTCCAAAGATTAGCAAAGACTGGCTGGTTCTTGGGGAACATATACGCTGACAGACTAACTAAAGGGAAAACGAGAAATGAACCCCACACTGTTGGAATTTGTAATGGCATGGAAATTATAGTGTTACATATTAATCATTTATTTTTATATGTTTTTATTGGTTTTAGAGAGGAGGAAGAGGGGGAAAGAGAGAGAGAGAGAGAGAGAGAGAGAGAGAGAGAGAGAGAGAGAGAGAGAGAGAGAGAGAGAGAGGCGCATCAACGGGCTTCCTCCTGCATGCCCCCCACTGGGGATGGGGACCTGCAACTCAGGCGTGTGCCCCAGTTGGGAATCGAACCCTGACCCCTTATTGCAGACAAGGAAGCTTCGCTCCAGACAGACGGAATGACTGGACTGAGGTCACACATCTATGCTCTGGCATCACACTTGAACATACACGACTGGCATGTGTCAGAGGCATACACATGATTTTTATTTAGGAATCACATGCAAGTCATGCAAGCGGAGGAAAGGAGGGAGGGAAGAAGGCAGGCTCCCTCCCCCCACACCGTAGGCTCTGGAGAACGAAAGCACCGACGGTGACTATCGCACATTTCAAAGCTCTGGGAAGACACACAAGCAACAGTTTCTGGTGAAAAACTGCGCCGAAGCGGATTTAATTAGAGAGAAATGTCAGTCTTTTCCAGTCTGCCTTAAATCACATAAATTAATGTCACTCAAAACCTAATAGCATGTAGAAGTAGCGGGTTTAGATTTCATTTTTGTCACAATTATAATTTCAGAGTACCAGAAAAGACTACCCAGACTGAGGGAAGGAACACATTGCTCTGTGTCAGTGCGGGCGGGGCAGAAAGAGAAAGCTCAGGGACAGAAAAGATGCAGCCTCTGCCTGAACCCTGAAGAGGGGGTGGCTTTAGGGGCCCCTAGAAAGGCAGAGAAAATGACCTTTGTTGCTCTAAGGAAATCTTCAACAAAGGCGTTTCATATGAACTCTGATATAATAACATAATATCTATAATAATAAAACCGTAATATGCTCATTAGACCGGGCATCCTTCTGGTCTCCCCCTCCTCAAAATCATCTCAAGCCAGATTGGGGCCTGCCCCGTGTGGCTCAGTGGTCAGCATTGATTCCTAGTCAGGGCACAGGCCCAGACTGCAGGCTTGGTCCCCAGTGTGGGGTGTGCAGGAGGCAGCCAATTGATGATTTTCATCAATGATCTCTCTTCTCTCTCTTTCTTTCTCTCTCTCTCTCTCTTCCCCCCCTTTCTTTCCCTTCCTTCTCTCCCTTCCTCTCTGAAATCAATAAAAATATATATATTTTTTAATAAGACAGATTGGAAAATATCCTTAGTAAGGTGTAAAAATTTATGACACTTAAAAGGAGTTATTTCCCACCTTTCCTATTTAAAAAAAAAAAAAAATTAGACTATAGCCCTAGCAAGTTTTGGTCAGTGGATAGAGCATCAGCCTATGGACTGAAGGGTCATGGGTTCAATTCTGGTCAAGAGCACACGTCAGGTCGCAGGCTTGATCCCAGTGGGGGGCATGCAGGAGGAAGCTGATCAATGATTCTCTCTCATCTTTGGTGTTTCTGTCTCTCTTTCCCTCTCCCTGCTCTCTGAAATCAGTAAAAATAATTATTAAAAAATTAGACTATATATTTTAGAGCAGTTTTAGGTTTACAACAAAATTGGGTAGAAAGTCCAGTTAACATCCCTCCCCTTTTTCATTTGAATGGATATCAAGCACTGAAACAAAAGTAGGAATTTTTATTCTGCGGTCTAGAGAATCCATGGATGATCTTCATGGGGTCCTTGATCTCAGATACTATATCCTGAATTGTGGTATATGGTGTATATAAATTTTTTTGGGGGTACATACACTTTAAAAAAAAATAAAACCTCACCCAAGGCCAAGGGTATGTTTTTAAAATTGACTTGAGAGAGAGAGAGAGAGAGAACTGGAGCGCCTCTCAGCCATGGCTTTATGTACATTTTTTAAAGGAAGCAGGTCTCAGCAGGTTATCAAGGGGACGGCATTCAAACACAGCTCAAACTACTGAGCTAAACAATGAAGTTCAAGGTCCAGACATCAGGTAGAGAGATCAAAGGAACTATTTTGGGTACAGAAGGCTTCACCGGTGTCCCTAAAACACCACCACACAGGTGGCTGCCACTCAGAGTGTCAGTGAGTATGCCCAGGCCTCTGACTTAAACAGGCTATTGAAATATCCTGGTAAATAAATTACAACCAATGAAACAACTTCCAAAAACCATATGATGACATCTCCTTTCCCCTTGTTAACGTACCTTTAAAGCTTCTATGACGAGGTCCCTGGCTTCTAGCTCTCCTTCAAGAATACTGAACAGCGTCAGGAGTTCAGGCTTGCTGAGTTTTTCCAGATTCATCCTGAAGGCCTAAAACGGAGACACAATCAGACACTCTCTGAAGACAGAGTTAACTTGGTATGATCAAAGAAAAATAAATTGAGACAGACAAGCAGTATAACTATTACAGTATAAAACGCTTTCAGAAAATAAAACTCACTTTATTGATTTCATCACTACTCACAAAAAATACATTTTATCATTTTTCCTCTAGGCATATTTGCAAGCATCCTAGAGGTTCTCTGAATGAGTTAGTCACTAATTTTGTTCACTAGAAATTCAGGTAAACTTGTGTTACAGTCAATAGTATTTCACCAAAAATTGTTATACCATAAAAAGATTTCCCACCTTTAGATAACCAGATTCAAAACTCGCATATAAAACATGCTGGCATCCCTTGGAAACTGGTTGAAATGAAATTTGAGCAAAGATAATGTTCGCTGAGAGATTTTTCTTTTAAATTGTCTACTTTCGGAGAGAATATCACAATATTTATATTTCATATAGCAAAATAAAACTTAAATGCAACCAATATGCAAAAAATAATTTTAAATGACTTCTTAAAAATATACTGTTTTAAACATCTTTTTAAAAAATGTATTTTTATTGTTGTTTTTTTTATAGAGAGGAAGGGAGAGGGACAGAGAGTTAGTAACATCAATCAGCCGCCTCCTGCACACCTCCTACTGGGGATGTGCCCGCAACCAAGGTATATGCCCTTGACCAGAATAAAACTTGGGATTGTTCAGTCTGCAGGCCGACGCTCTATCCACTGAGCCAAACCAGTTAGGGCTGTTTTAAACATCTTAATTGACCAGACTACTGAATGTATTTCACTTAAGCTCCCATTTCTATAAGGAATTGTACCTTTTGAAATACGATAAATGGGAAATCTCATGGCACAAATTCTATCTTTCCCACAAGATTCATTTCTCCACAAACCACACATAGAAATGAGATGGCTGTTTCAGGGTCTTTTGACCAGCAGTTATGGCAAAATACATTTTATAACTTCCAAAGTAGAGCAAAGACTACTTTCCTATAGGTTTCTGTAGAATGATTCACGGCAGGACTGGTTCACACACCCTCCAGTCATTCCCAGCTCTTAGGAGAACATTACATTTTAGGCGGCGCACAAAGGACTCATTGATTCCCTCCAGAGTTATGCCTCAGGTGGAGGAAAACAGGGAGGAAAGTCCTACTTCACTGTGCTGTCAGAGTATGTTTTGAGACAAGCTGTACAAACCTTTTCGCCACATGGTAACATATGTGCAATGTAACTTCACCATTGAAGGGCTAACTTTCTAACGAGGGAGTTTCAGCCACGAGTAATTCTCACATCAGTGCTAGAGAGATATCTCAAAGCAGTTATTTTTTAAAGACTAGTTTACTGATTTTGAGAGAAAAAGGAAGGGAGAGGGAGAAAGAGAGATGAATGTGAGAGTGTTAACATGGATGGGCTGCCTCCTGTACGCCCCCTCTCGAGAATCAAGTCCTCAACCCAGGCATATTCCCTGACCAGAAATCGAACCGGGAACCTTTTGGTACATGGGATGGGGCCCAACCAATTGAGCCACACCGGCCAGGGCTCAGCAGTTATTTTAAAAGTGAGAACTAACAAGCAACAATAAACCTCATAAAGCTAAACTTCATAGGGATGGAATGTTGGGAAGAGCACATGGCACTGCAATCAGATAGATGCCAGGCTTGCGTCTTCCTGGTTGTGTAATTTGGGCGCGTTTTCGGATTATCACCTTTCTTACCTGAGAGGGGAGGATGATATCTAATGCTCAGCGTCACTGTGGAGATTGCGTTAATAAAAGGAGAGCGCAGTGCCAAGTTCCTGATACAAACTGCAGAACGGTTTAATTATTAATCACTACTATCCTCTCTCACTTTCCAACGCAGCTCAGAGAACCGTATCACCACAGTTAGGGGCAGCCAAGCCCAGTGACCTCAGAAACCCCTCCAGCGGCCCTCTGTAAAAAGGTGCCAGCATCCTGAGTGAAGAATGGCGAGGGGGAGGCTGCCAGCTGAGTCACCTGGCTTGTTCTCTCTATGTTTGTAAATCACTCCGGCACACAAATGTTCGTATCTGGAACTTTTGGCTAATATGTACCAACCCATTTAGCTTAGTGTCTGCATGAGGTGAATGCAATACAAATATGACAAAGAAAGAAAAAAGGTCCACAGCTGCATAATGATTCAAAACCCATCAGATCTGTTTTTTTTTTTTTATATTCCAATAACCTTTCTTTAAAAAAAAAAAAAAAAAAATATATATATATATATATATATATATATATATATATATATATATATATATTTTATTGATTTTTTACAGAGAGGAAGAGAGAGAGATAGAGAGCTAGAAACGTCGATGAGAGAGAAACATCGACCAGCTGCCTCTTGCACACCCCCTACCGGGGATGTGCCCGCAACCAATGTACATGCCCCTGACCGGAATCGAACCTGGGACCTTTCAGTCCGCAAACCTACGCTCTACCACTGAGCCAAACCAGTTTCTGCTAACCTTTCTTTATAAATATTAAAACTTAGCAGCTCTTGGCTTTTCTACCCATTTGAACATCATCTCAATACTCAAGACACTGCAATACATTTTTGCATGAAATATAAATGAAGAGAGTCAAACTGTCTTATGTTTTAGGATGGCAGGGAGATTGCTGAGGGTGGGGGTAGGGATGAGGGTAAGGTAGGGGTGGGGGATGATGGTGGTGATACTGACCTGATAATTGGCAGTCACACTTCAGTCCTCAAGTAGAAACTCTTAACGTTTTCTTCAGTTAAGATTTGGGAAAACTGACGAATATATTTAAAATGCCGTCAACATGGTGAAAAAGTGTCCAACGCTGCAAGATAATAAGAAATTTATTGCCTATGTGACCACTCTAAAAACAATTTCTAAATCTCATGAATGTCAACGGTGTCATTAAGATGATGAGGCTGGCAGCTGCAGGTGGATTCAAACAGCAAAGAGGAAAAGAGCCACTTCCTGGAGCTGAAGCTGAGTAATACGGGACAGAGAGCAGAGATCTGACCTTCCGTGTGCAGTTGTAATTAGGGAAGGTGCAGGTTTTCAGAACCTTTTTTACTTTACAGTGTCCAGTGCCATTTCAAGGACTAACGTACGCATGTCTCTACAAGAGACTGACTTTCCTTGAACAACGGACAAAAGCCTATTTGCTCCAGGCACCATGACTTAGGCACAGCGAACAAAGAAAAATAAATATAACTGAATTTTTCAAATTGCCCAATTCGTGAAAGGAGAATTCTCATCCCCTCAGCTCCTGCAGGTCAAAACACAAATAAACCAACCTGTCCCCATCTGGACTTTGTAAGGCCGATCGCTCACCCCAAGCTTCTAACTTTCCCCCATTGATGTTCAAATATTAAATGTCAAATTACAAACGAAATGTGTTTTACTCTCCTGACAGTGGATTGGACCCAGCAGACTTTAAAAAAAATGACAGGTTTAACATTTTATTTGATGAAACATCATCTTGGTCTTGTATCTGTAGGCACCAGGCCTGACGCCTATTTGAGTTGCCAAAACATGACAGTCAAACAGGGACAATGTTGGAGGCGTAACACAGCCAGAAGTGCTGGTGTCTTTAACCAGGAATCAGCCGTTAACCTAATTATGGGTCTCTCCATTTAGGAGCGGAGTGTGCTGTGCAGTCAGGAACGAGTATAGAGCCATCATGCAGGCAGACCACTAAAAAGCCGCACCCCACACTTCCGCCCAATATATAAATTATGTGGCCCGGAGTTTTCAGATAAAGGCCGCTTCTAACTCCGCAGTCACTATCAGGAACACGGGCCGGCTTTTTGGCATGCCGTGTCGCAGCGAACAGAGACTCGTTTTCTAAATGAGCTGTTACTTGTCACTGTCATCATCCATTTAGCAACTCTGAAAGACAAGATCATTCCCACCAGATGCTCAGCTCATTCCTTCCCTCAGAACCCGAGACCAGACTTTCCCTTTCCTTCGAGATGAGTGAGCCACGGATATTTCTGTCCAAGGAATGCTCCCGTCCATCAATATGGAATAAAGACCACTTGTGGACAAGTTGTCTGGGTACATTATTATACACTGGGACACAGCTAACTGTAGCTACATTAAGCTTCATGGTTTTCCTGATGACAAAAATACATAAATATATAATTTAAAAAAGACCAAGTTATATCTATTTTAATACTCTGGAAAATTTGCCTATTTATGGGCTAAGGATGAGACATTTTTGTTATCAATATGTGATTTCAAACATTTGGTCTATTCACATGCTACTTACTTCTCACCCAAGTCAGGGCCAACAACGGAGAGCATGTCTTTTCTTTTTAAATATTTTTTTATTGATTTTTTACAGAGAGGAAGGGAGAGGGAGAGAAAGAGGGATAGAGAGTTAGAAACATCGATGAGAGAGAAACATCCATCAGCTGCCTCCTGCACACCCCCAACTAGGGATGTGTCCGCAACCAAGGTACATGCCCTTGACCGGAATTGAACTTGGGACTCTTCTGTCTACAGGCCGAGGCTCTGTCCACTGAGCCAAACTGGTTAGGGTTTCTACACCAACTTTCATGGGCCCACAGCCACAGAGTAAGGGGATGGAGCCAGCCTCCTGGAGCCCCCTGGGCACCTGGCCACGGCAGTAGGCTGTGGCTCGGCTCTGTTCATTTGATTCTGACCTTGGGCCCTTTCTGGATGACACCGGGCTCCACTCATTCTGGTCCTGGTTGTGCCTTTTTCTTGAGGAAGTCCCAGCTTTGCTCGGGAACTCTGAATTAATTCGATGGGACAGCAGGCTCTGTTGCCTTTTTACCACATAGAGACGGGGTGGCAGAAAAAGAAACACCCAAACAGCTTCTATAGCTATGTAAGCAGAGGGCAGGGCAGGCAGGGTGGAGTACAGTGAGATGTTTGTCTATGTAGTATCTGGGTGTGTTATGTTTTCACGTAGAACTAAAGGCTTTATTTATTTCTAAGTGGAGGGTTACTT